CATTACAAATTTATGTCATATAGGCAAGCCTCTCACCACTCTGCCCTTTGCCATCCCACTGAACAAAGTGGCTGTTTCCAAACTTTTTCATTGTCTCCTCCTATGGCATCCCCTCCTCCACCACATCAGACTCATACTTCACTGAGAAAAATGGAGGTCATTTGCCAAGAGTTCTCACTTCTCACATCACTCAGAAATCTACCTTTTCCCATTATCTCCTCTTCTTTTACCTATGTAACACATGGCAAACCTCTCTAATACATACCCATCTAGCAGATTACCCCCCCAATATCATGCCCACTTGCTCTAATTTTCAACACTGCCTCATCTATGAAGGCAGTTAGATGGCACGTTGATAGAGCGCTGAGCCTGGAGTGAGTTCAAATCCTGCCTCAGACATTTACTAGCCATGTGACCCCTGAGTCACTTAATCTCTGTCTGCTTCAGGCTCTTCAAATGTAAAATGGGGCTGATAGCAGCACCCACCTCCCAGGGTTGTTGTGAAAATCAAATAAGATGACATTTGTAAAGCATGCAGCACGGTGCTCAATATGTGCTCAATAAAATGCTTACTTCCTTCTTTCCTTTCCTTCTACTGGTTTCTTCCCTGCTGCCTACAAACACATCCATGTCTTCCCTGTCCTTACTTGATCTAACCCTCTTGGATAACTATCCTCCTAACTGTTTTCTTCCCTCCTTTTCAACTGAACACTTTAAGAGAGCCATCTATACCTGTCTCTACTTCCTCTCCTTTTTCTTGATTCTAATTTTTTTGCTACTGGCTTCTGACATCATCATTCAACTGAAATTGTTCTCTCTCAAATTCCTGGTGACCTCTTCACCAACAAACCAAATGACCTGTTCTCTGTCCTCATCCTTTTTGATTTCTCTGCAGCCTTTGGAACTGTCAATCATCATCCTACCCTCTCCAGGTTTCCACAACACTGCTCTCTCCTGATCCTCCTTCTTCCAGCCTCCTTCGCTGGATCTTCATTAAGTTCATGCTCACTAACCAACTGTGGGTGTACCTCACAAATCTCTCCTGGGTTCTTCTTTTCTCTGCCCTCCATACTATCTTGTTTGGTATTCTCATTAGCTCACAAATGTCGTGTGTGTGTGTGTGTGTGTGTGTGTGTGTATGTGTGTGTCTGTGTGTGTGTGTGTATAATGTCCCCCTAATTTCTTTTTTGAGCACCAGCTGGGCTTTAGACATCTCAAACTCTATACCTCACAGGCACCTCAAACTCAACATGCCGAAAACAAATCATGACCTTTCCCTCTAAACCTTCCTCTCTTTCCAACTTTCTTATTATTGCTAAGGACACCACCATCCTCCTGGATTCAAATCTCAGTGCCACTTCCAACCTATTAACAAACTCTTGTCATTTTTACTTTCACAACATTTCTTGTTTAAGTCCCATGCTCTCTGCTTACAAAGCCACCGTGCTTTGCTCAGGCCCTCATCACTCTTGCCTAGGTTACTGCAATAGCATTCTGGTTGGTCTCCATGCCTCAAGTCTTTCCCCACTCCAATCCAAAGTGACCTTACGAAAAAGCACAGGTCTGACCATGTCACCTACCTACTCAAAAAAGGTCAGGGGCTCCCAATTACTTCCAGGATCAAATATAAAATCCTGTTAAGATTTTTTTTCTCTTTAAATATATTTTTGTTATCTTTTTTTTACCATCAGAATTTCTCCCAGTATCCCTCCCCCTTCCAGAGCCATCCTATATGAGAAATTATATTTTTAAAGAAAAAAAGAGGGGGCAGCTTGGTGGCGCAGCGGACAGAGCACTGGCCCTGGATTCAGGAGGACTTGAGTCCAAATCCAGCCTCAGACACATAACACTTACTAGCTGTGTGCCCCATGGCAAGTCATTTAACCCCACTGCCTAAAACCACCACCACCCCCCACAAAAAAAAAAGAAAAAAAGAGGAAGAAAAAAATTCAACAAATCTAATCAATACATCAAAAAAGTCTGAAAATATATGCAACGCACCTACCACACCCATGGGTCTCCCTCTGCAAAGTAGCGAAGAAAGAGTGTCTTCTCATTTCTCTTCTTTAGGATCACTCTTCCTCTATTTGGCCTTTAAAGCTAACATGACATCGCCGTCTCCCCCCGCCCCTCCCCCACAGTCCTCTCACACTTCTCTCCCTCTGTGTAGTTTGCAGTCCAGTCACTGGACGGGCCTCCTGGCTGCTCTTCCTACACAAGAAGCCGCCTCTGATGTCACACATTTGCACTGGCTGTTGCCCATGCCTGCTGGTTCCCGGGCTTCTTTCAAGTCTCAAGTAAAGTCCCAACTCCTATGAGAGCTCTCTGCTGCCAGTCCCTCTTAAATCTTAGAACCTTCCACCTAAGACTACCCCCAGTTTATTCCGTCTCTAGCTTGTTTGTACACAGTCGTTTGCATGTTCTCCCTCATTAGACTGTGTGGATTCTTCAAGAACAGGGTCCATCTTTTGTCTGTCTTTATATCCTCAGGCTGGCACAAAGTAGGTGCTTAATAAAGGGTCTGTGACTTGAGAGCAGGGAAGGTATTTGTCTTTCTTTGTATCCCCAATGTTTACTACAGTGTATGGCACATAGAAATACTTAGTATCTGCCGACTATTCCTTTGGGCAAAGAAAGCATAATAGTAATTCTGCGAAAACAGAACATAGTCTGACATGGCTTCAACACCTACCAACTTCCATCGCTGCTCTGGGATTGCACTGATATCCACAGGGTGACGCTCTATTACGTTAAGAAATCGTACTTCTGGGACAGCAATAGCACAGATCACATGGATCCACCTGGACAGTGCACAGGAGAGCTTGATTACAAACTTTATTTTTTGGTGAGCTCTCACTTTTATTGTTATTAAAATTATTAATATGTTCTGTTCCACTGTATTCTATCATTCCTTGCTCAGCCATTCCCTGATGACTATACATGTATTTTGTTTCTAGTTTTAACACAAATAATCCAACACTATGTTTTTGGCGATTAATAATCTCCTTAGAATATAGTACCAGTAGCTGAATCTCAGAGTTAAAGCATATGAACAATCGGGCAATTTTTCTTGTTCAATTTGTTTTTCCAAAACCACTGAAGAAATCCACAACTTTACCAGCAGTGAATCAGTATTACTGTATACAGCCCCTCCAATCAGCACCACTGCTGGCTTAATCTGTGTGAAGTAATATCTCAGGGCTGTTTTAATGTGTGGTTCTCTGATTACTAGTGATGTTAAACATTTTTTTTCAGGTGGCTGGTGATTGAATAGTCATACTGTATTGACTGCTCATTGTGCACAAAGGCATGTATTAGCTGAAGCAGGGCTGTGCTAATCTATAATTATCCCCATTTTATGGAGAAGAAAACTGAAGTTCAGGAAAGCTTACGCAGATAAGAAGGTGAACTGGGACTTAAACAGGTCTCTTAATTACATGTCCAGTACCATTCTCACAAAACTACAACAAGGCTCCTTATGCTAAGGAGTTCATATGATAGATTATGAGATGGGATATTCAGACATGACTTATTTTAAGTCTGATGTACTGTCTCCCAACCACGATCTCTTTTTCCAATACCTGGGTCTTACTTGGTATTTGAAGGGTCAGTGACACCACCATCAGGATGAAAAAGAGTAGACTCGGTATCATCTCTATAACAGAGATCAGTCATTCCCTCTTCCTTGCTGTTCCCAGTCATGACTACCCGCAGGAGAGGAAAAGCCACAATGGGCTAATGTGTAAGCTCTAAGGCCAAACGCTCAAAAAATAACAAACATCCTTCCTACCTCTTATCAGTCGTCATCTGAAGGGCTCCTCCCCTGAGGTTACACAAACAGCACTCCTACCAGAGGAAAAACCGTGGTGTAGATTAACGGCAAAAGCCACCAGGCCCTCAACTTCCCTTCCGCCTGGTGCTCTTATTCACTGTCCCAGTGAACTATCTCTTGGAGACAGGTCCTTAAATTAACTCTTCAGGAGTAACAAAATCACCTGGCGCTTCTTTTAAAGCTTCCAGACCCACCCCGCCCCCAACCATCCTGTAGGTAGTACAAGTATTGTTATCCCCATTTAACATGGGAAAAAACTGAACCCCCCAGAAAGGTTAAGTAAATTGCTCAGGGTTGTTAATACAGCAAGATGAATGTCAGAACCAGGGTGCTCAACCAGATCTTAGCATCAAAGGGAGCATTTTATTCTAGTCCCAGCTGTATTTCAGCAGGTATGCAATAAACAATAAACTGGACAAGCAGTAATCCAATCTCTGCCTGAAAACTAGTGATGGGATGATCCAGTGATTCCAAATCTGGTACTCTTTGTACTATAGCAGGACCCCTCTTCCATATCTACTCTCACAGGCTGTCTAATTCAATTCTTTCAGTTTACAGAGGACACACTTGGAGAAGGGAGGAATCATGCCTAAAGTTACAAGAAATCATGACAGAGACCCAAGTTCTATCCCAATTCTAACTCTCTGCCCCAAAGGCCTGAAGACCAGCGACTTTGAATGCCTATAAGCAAAGTCCGACGAACAAAGAGCCCTGGCAGAAAAGAGTACGTTACCGCTGTCCAGGCATTGGCTGTGCACCGGGAACAGGTCCAACCTTCATTTACCAGATCAGGACGGATTCCGTAGCAACCTGAAAGAAGGCAGAGATCCACAGCTCAGATGCTACGTCAGTAGGAGCTGATGGGCACAGATGCTGGTGGGATTTAAAAGGCCTTCCAGAATTCACTACATTTAAGATAACTGTTCTCTTTTGCCATCTTCTTCACCTTAATTCAGGCCACTGCACACAGTGTGAAACAAAAGGCTTTGGGGCAAAAGAAGCTAGGAATGGTCCATTTAAAATGCTAATGTTATAGAGAAAGAAAACAAATCCCCTTTACATGTGGTTAATTCTGGATAAATCCAAGCTACCAACCTAAAATATTAAGGCAGTTATTGTATCTGACAAATTAACTTTTTGTGACTTATATTCTGATTGGGTAATAATTAAAATGAAAATATCAATACAGTTAGGTTCCTAACAACCTCAGTACCACAAACAAGAGCTAAGACATATACTGAAAAGAAATCAATATGGCTACACAAGTCTATTCCATCAAAAGGATCTTTTGGTCATGGACAGGCTATGCAGGCAAATCCAAATCAAGCCTTGGAAGTGGACAAAGGGAAGGAAGCTCAGGGCTACTAATTCAGGGTTTGGAAAACCAGTCAAGAAATGGATGTGAAATAGGAGCTAGACTGCATAAATATTTCAGTTGGGAACATCAGAACTGTATGCAACTGAATGAAGTTTCAGTGATTATTTCTTGCCTCTGAAATCCCAGGGGGAAGGCTCTGCATTGGGAACATAATTGTCCTCAGAATGCAGCTCCTACAGTAGGTTTCAAGTAACAGGAAGACAGCACAAAGAGTGTGAGCAGACACAGCCAGGACACTGTACTATCAGCTTCATTCTCCAATAGAGATGGATTGGCAGTCCAAGTGGAAAAGCCAAGTCAGCTACTTCAAAAAAAAAAAAAAGAAAAAAAAAGACACTTTATAGAGTAGAGCCTAGAGGAGAAATCCAGATGACACTGGTTCAGGAGAGAGAAAGCCGAGCTGGAGAAAAGCTGTAACTTCACCCTTATGTGCTGACTGATGGATAATTGTTCCCCAAAACATAGCTCAGCCTGGTAAGAAAGCTCCCTTGTGCACTGCTAGAGAAGGTGGAGAGCCAGATTAGAATCTAAATCCTTACCTAAGCATTAAGCAAAGCAGCTAGGGATAACAGCCTTTGGCTGGATAAGGGATGCTTAGGCTCTAGGTTATCACCTTAGTTCTATAAGCACACTTACTACCACAGAGCTGGTGAGATCCTGGTCTCCAAGGAGCAACAAGGGAACTGAACACTTGTTTTCATTTTAATTCTTTACCAAAGATATTTTGCTGAACTATGTGGTGACCTCTTATCTACAAGACTGAAACCATGAAAAGTAATTTTATTTGATAAGAAGTAGATGTGACCTTCTCTACCAAGGTCAAATAGTAGATCAATATTCTATCATACTACTCAGTTCAAATGCAAAGCTCAACTGGGTATTGCCACCAGTCTTCCACATTATTGGCAAGATACTCATGATACTATCATCTGCCATTAGAAATCCTCTCTTCAGCTAACATCTAAGCAAAAAAGCCAGGATGCAGCAGGCCCAAGGTTTCTCTCAAAGTGCTCAAACAATGGTGGGTTGATCTTTCTTCTCTCTAATTCTCCCTACTATTTTCTCCCCCAAGGTTCAACAAGAAGGCCCCAAGGACTACTGGTCACTTAATCAATCTATAGGATAGCTCACAACAGAAGATTCTCTCCAAAAATGACTTGAAACTTTTATGAAATAAGCACTAAGCTAGCACGTGAAAATTAACTTCAGGGTCAGTGAATGAGAGGAAGGAATAATACGAACTTTCCAAAAAGGACAAAGATCTAAGTTACAGTTCTTTGTTCTACCTTCAATGGGGAATATAAAAATTAAATGTCTTCCTTTTCCTTTCCTCACCCAGAGGGCTGAGGGGATTGACTCATTCCCTTGTCCCAGCCCTTGCTCATGTTCTGTTAATATCTCCCTTCCCTCTTACTTTTCCAGCCAATGCTTCCTTCCTTTCCCCTCTTGACTGGATTTCAACCCTTCTCCTCCTCCCCCATTCCTATTCCTTTAAGAGAAGCCTAATGCACCTGTTCTACTCTAGTTCTTCCCTTCCCATGACTATGGGCCTAAGGCCCTCCAGTTCTGATGTGGGGCAAATATGACTGCTCACATCACGTCAATAAGCATGGAGTCCTCCACTATAGTCCTGCTGGTAAGATGGAGAACCATCATTCCCCTTCCTGTTTACTCTCTGACACCGAGGCTGCTTTACCTTTCCCCCTCTTTCCAAACTTGCTATCCAATAAGTGCTATCTCTTGTAATATGAATTCCCTGAGTATAGAGACTACCTCCCTTTTCTACTGTCTCTTCATGGCTCAGCTTAGCATATCATTCATTCACTCATTCAATCATTCATTCATTCATCTATCCATCCATCCTTTCCTAGAAGCTTAACCTTTAGGTTGTTGCTACTTTTTTGCACAGAAGCAAGAAACAAGTAAACTAGTTTTATAATCATTACTAGTACCTAATTGATCTCCGCTTACCTGTGGAAGGGGACAAGGTGCCCCTACCATGGGAAGGATAAGAAGAATCTCTTTCTACTACAACACAGTGCCACAATTAAATCCAATCCACTTACCCAAGAGCTCCATTCTAACTTTCTGAATCAAACTCCTGGCCAGTCAAAAAATATCCAGATCAACTTATTTTAACCTATATATTTAGAAATGATGAGAGGCAAGGTGGCCCTGAAGGCTGGGAAGCAACAAGGAGTCAAGCACAGAGGAACAGGAAAGGATATAAATCCCAGATAATCAGCACACACAGTTGTGATGGCAGGATGATCTTAATGCAGAGCAAGGACATGGCTGTCCCCTACCCCTGAATCCAAGTGTTTTCCAGTTGGCTTGAAAAATAAAACTGGTAAGTTACAAAGTTTGAGGAAAGACATTTAAAAATCTCCTATCCTCCCAAGGCTCTTTCTTGCTGTTCAGTCGTTTTTTAGTTGTGTCCAACTCTTTGTGACCTCATTTGGGGTATTCTTGGCAAAGATACTGAAGTGGTTTGCCATTTCCTTCTCCAGTTCATTTTCCAGATGAGGAACTGAGGCAAACACGGTTAAGTGACTTGCCTAGGGTCACACAGCTAGCAAGTACCTGAGGCCAGATTTGGATTCAGTCTTCCTGACAGGCACTCTATCTACTGTGCCACCTAGGTGCCCTAGGGTATTCTTCATCAATTTAACTATTCTGTTCATGAAGAACTCAAGAAGGCAATTCTATGATAGAAAAGTCAGAAGAAAAGTACCCAGTGAAATAAAGGGCCTCCTTCTATTAAGATACTGTCACAATAGAAGCCCAGACTATAATGGAAAATATACCTCACTGATCTGCAGGAGTTTAGCAGTTACTAAATTCTGCCCTGGGTTTCTAGAAGGAGCTATTCTAAAATCAAATAGAAAAAGGAAGACACTACATCTACAATGTTTGTCTTTTCTTTCTGTGCTGACGCGATCTTCGTGGACCTTTAATTGATGCTATAGAAGGGCAACCTTTTTTCAACATCTTCTGTGCTTTTTGCCTAATCACGTGACATATCCTCAGGTTTTCTATGTGACGTATAGCATCCAAGAATTGCCAAGCTATAGAGAAAACCAGAAGCTTTAGGAAATTCAAAAGGGAAATAAACTTGAGATAATGCCAAGTCTTTTGAAGAAGTCAATGAACAAGGACCATAGTCCCACTGTGTAGTAATGTGAAATAACATGTATAGCATGGCAATGTGAAAACCTATACCTTGTGGGGTGTAGATCAGGCCTAGTATAGATGTTTGAGAATGGCAGAAAATACGTGTTCTGGGTGGAGCCTAAGTCCAGGAAAAGCAAGTAAAAGCATTCAAAGAGGCTCTATAAGTAGAAATACAGGAATACTTCAAACACGTGAACCAACCAAAGGCATTTCTTGAGGAATATCAATATTTCCCAACCAGCAGATTTCATCTGTCAGGAGACGCTGTTTCAAGGACGCCTGAATTTCTGAACAGTACCACAACCACCCACAGTGCCTTATACCTGTGCTTTTCCCAACCAACACCCCACCCTCTCCTCAGTTCCCACGTGAAGTGCATTAACTTACTGGCATGAACTTGCAAGTAGCATTTGGCGCAGGCAATGAGGAGGCTAGTTCCATCGTCACCAATATAAGAATTTGCAGGGAGAGGCTCAGTATTTTCACCACTTGAAGTAAAACACATTTCCGGGATCAAGGGCTTGGTCTTCTGTCCACACTTAGAAAGCTGAAGTAGTGAGGAGGTCTCTCCCAGAGAGGCCTGGGAAGTCTCTTTATCTGTCTGTAAGGACTTAAAAAGTAACAAAGCAGTATTAAGTAAAATCTTTCCTCTAAAAGGTGGGTAGAGGGGCTTTTGTTCCAAAACATTCACTGCATAAATGCCAGCTCTATGTCAGGGTGAACAAAGTAGAAGAATTCATGGTGTTGTGACACTGGCCACAGAGAATGACATCGTTAAAAAATGGTCATCTGGCCTCCCGTTAAAGATGGAAAACTCATTACCTAACCCTACCAAGGGGGCCCATTCCACTTTTTGGCATGCTTATTGGCCATACTGCTGGAAATATTGCAACAAATAAGTGCCTGGACACTCCCTATAAGTCTCCAAGATCAACAATAGGCTTAGGAACTACATTATCCTAAATAGCTTCTATGTAGTACTTAGCTTTCCATGGTATAAGAGACTATATTTGTTTGATAAAAAAACAAAGCACTGAAGCCTGAGTTTATCCAAGGCCACATAGTGCTTGGGATCTGAGAGTTTCCCTTCCCCAAAGAGCTGAGGAGCAAGAGATTGCTCCTCACTGAAAGCTAAATATCCTATTCAGGAGGGCTGACAACAAGCCAGGCCTTTACAAAAATGTCTAGGTAACAGCAGGCAGGACAGTCACTAAATGCTTACTGGTACTCATGAGGCTTTCAGTATTGCTTTGATATCTTGTGGTGTGGTAGTGATCCTAGATTTTCAAAAGCTATGCTAAAAAGGACAATGACAAATGCTGGGGGGGGGATGTGGAAAAATTGGGACACTAAAGCACCGCTGGTGGAATTGTAAACTAGTCCAGCTATTCTGGAAAACGATTTGGAACTACACCCAAAGGGCTATAAAACTGTGCACACCCTTTGACCCAAAAATACCACTACTAAGTCTGTACCCCAAAGAGATAAAAGAAAAAGGAAAAGGACCTATATAGGATTACAAAAATATTTATAGCAGCTCTTTTTGTGATGGCAAAGAACTGGAAATCAGTTGAGGAATGGTTGAGCAAGTTGTGGTACATGACTGTGAAGTAAGAAATGATGAGCAGGATGCTTTCAGAAAGACCTGAGAAGACATATATGAACTTATGCCAAGTAAAACAGGCAGAGCCAAAACACTGTACACAGTAGTAGCAATATTGCAAAAATGATCAACTGTGAAAGACTCTGATCAAGACAATTTCAAAGGATCCATGATGAAAAATACTATCCACCTCCAAAGAGAGAACTGACCAACTCTGAATGTACATTGAAGCATACTTTTAAAACCTTATTTTTCTTTTGCCTGCATTTCCTTTTGAAGCATGGTAAATATTAAAATGTTTTGAATGACTTCACACGCATCAAATTGCCTGACTTCAAGGAGGGGGAAAATTTGGAATTCAAAATTTTTTAAAATGTTAAAATTATCTCTACATGTAATTGGGAAATATTCAATGAAATAAAAATACATTTTAAAAAAGAAAGCTATGCCAACAGATCATGAGATTTGACAGGTTCTATCAAACTGGAAAGGCTTCACGTAAGGATGTGGCAATGAACAACTTATCCGCTGATCAAAGCTCAAATTGATCGACAAGTCTGGAAAGGCCCATCACTGGGTTGCTGTGTCATGAGGCGATGCATTTTTTTTCTAGCCACAGCCAATTCTTAAAGACTAAAAGTTACTGTTTACACAGACACCCCCCCCCAAAAATCACTAAGTAGCTCTTCATGCACCTCATTAAGTGAGTGAACTGATCATGCAATTATAACTCAGAGCTGGAAGGGATCTCTGAGTTCATCTCCAACATCTATATTTGCATAGGAATTCTCTTGACAACATTCCTGACTAACGGCCATACAACTATTTGATGGCCTCCAATGATGAGAAAATTCCACTTTGTGACAACTGTAACCCTATTGTTTTAAAACTCCCCCCAATATACAACCAAGAATCATCTACCCAGCAAAACTGAGTATAATCCTTCAGGAGGAAAAATGGTCATTCAGTGAAATAGAGGACTTTCAAGCATTCTTGATGAAAAGACCAGAGCTGAATAGAAAATTTGACTTTCAAATACAGGACTCAAGTGGAACATGAAGAGGTAAACAGGAAAGAGAAATCTTAAGAGACTTATTAAGGCTGAACTGTTTACATTCCTGCATGGAAAGATGATATTTATAACACATGAGACCTTTGTCAGTATCAGTTGGAGGAAAAAAATCATATGGATGTATATGTAGATAGATAGAGGGTACAGGGTGAGCTGAAGATTAAGAGGTCATATCTGGAGAATAAAATTAAGGCATGAGAGAGGATTATACTCGGAGAAGAAGAAAGGGAGAGGTAGAATGGGGTAAATTATCTCAAAAAAAATAAACAGAAAAGAAAAGTCTCTTACAGTGGAAGGGGAAATGGGGGAAGGTGAGAGGGAATGAGTAAATCTTATTCTCATAGGATTTGCTTAAGGAGGGAATAACATACACATTCAATTGGGTATGGAAATCTTACCCTACGGGGAGAAGGGGACAAGAGAGCAGGGGGATGACAGGAGGAGGGAAGATTTGGAAAGGGGGTAATCAGAAGTAAATACTTCTGAGGAGGGACAGGGTCAAAAGAAAGAACAGAATAAATGGGAGGGCAGGTTAGGATTAAGGGAGATAGAGTTAGTTTTTCACAACATGTCTACTATGGACGTGTTTTGCATAACTGCACATGTACAACCTATATTGAGCTGCTTGCCTTTTCAATGAGGGTGGGTGGGGAGGGAAGAAGAGAGAAAATTTGAAACCTAAAGTTTTAAAAACATATGTTTAAAAAAAATTTTTTCACATGCTACTGGGAAATAAGAAATACAGGAAATGGGGTACAGAAGTCTATCCTGCCCTACAGGAAAATAGAAGAAGAAGAGGATAAGAGAATTGCAGAGAGATAGAAGAGAGGACAGACTAGGGGAAGGGATATTCAGAATGCATGACACCTTGGGGTGGAGGGAGGGGGGAGATGGGGTGAAAATTTGGAACTCAAAAACTTGTGGAAGTGAATGTTGAAAACTAAAAATAAATAAATTTATATTAAAAAAAAACCTCCCCCCAATAAACACATAAACAGCTAAACAAAAACAACTGAACAGTAGGGGAGCCTGGCAGTCCAACATTTTAAACCAACAGTCACCTGCATCTCTGAGAGTAAGGAGATGGTGGTAATAATAATAATAAAAGGAAAAGATGATGATGATGATGATAATGATGATAGCATTTAAAAAGCACTTTAAGATTGGCAAAGTGCTTTACGTACATTATATCATTTGATCCTCCCGACAACTCTGTGAGGCAGGCACTATTATCATCATTTTGCAGAAGAGGAAACTTGAGGTTTAGAGGTTAAATGACTTGTCCAGAGCCACACAGCTAATAAGTGTTTGAGGAAGGATTCAAACGTGGGTCTTTTTGACTTCAAGCCCAGTGTTCTACCCAAAGTGACACCCGGCCAGAGATGCTCCTTCATCTTTAGTCATTATAGAAAGTCAGGGTCTGACTTCATCTTAGTTTTCTTTTCATTTACAGTCTTCTTGTCATTGTATACATTGCTCTCTTGGTTCTATTTATGTCACTTTCTATCAATTTATTTAAGTCTATGAATTTTTCATATTCACTGTTTCTCACAGAATAGCATTCCACTCCATTCAAATACCACAACTATCATGCCATTCTCCAACTGACAGGCACTCATTTTACTTCCTATTTTTGGATACTACAAGAAAGTGCTGACATGGATATTTTGGTCATCATGAGGCTTTTCTTTCTATCTTTGACCTTGTGTCCTTGGTATTCGGGAATCTCAGAACAGCTTTAATTGACAGTGAGTTTTCCTTTATTCCTGGAGGAATGAGTCTTCCTGACTCCAGGGCCACTGTTTTATCCATCATGCCACATACTTGTCCCATCAGCTACACTTTCAATAATTTAAAACCCCTATGACTTCACATATAAGGGCTCTCCCTTCACCAATACAGATCATAACATTTTTATGTCTTTAGTAGATGGTTTATTTGGCCAAAAAATGAATTATCCAGAAGCCAATATTTTGGTGGGAAGCCTCCCTGAACTCAACACCAGTTCTTCGATGACAGATATGGTCTACTGCTAGAACCAGTCTATAACCAACCAAAGCCTTCCCAGCTTGGTAAGATCCATCAGAGTCTGTCTTCCCTGACATAACCTTCAAGAGACAAGGGCTGCCTTCCATGGATGACAAGCTACAGAAAAAGAGATGTCAGTGAAGGCTCTACCTATTACATTATACTAAAACGACCTGATTTTTAGTTTTTAGAAATAGATTCTTGAACCCAATAAAAATTCAACTCTGAGACTGCTTTAAGCAAAGCAATCCCTAGTACCAACAGGAGATAGAAAACATCAAAAATCCACCTTGTAGCAATTCTGCTGACAGGAAATTCTCAGCAAGATGGCAATTACCTGGTTATATGGGTAGAAGAGAGTACAGACAGCACAATATGGCTCTACCAGGGCTGCAGCCGCATTGAACTTCTTCTCTGCCTGGAAGTTATGCACTTTATTCTTCCACTGGAGGGAAAGTAAAGACTTCAAGGCCTCAGGGTCACTTACATCCTCTTCTCCAGAGAAAGGAAACGCTTCTAGAATGAAATGAATGAGAGCAGGAATGGGAGAGGAAGAAAGGGAAGAATTTTTTTTTTAAGTGAGAGGGATAAAAGGAAAAAAAGGGGGTAAGAAAAGTAGGGAGCAAATCTTTAGTGCCAATAAAAAAAAATATATATATATATCTCAAATATATAAAAAAAATAAAGACAGTCAACCACACTGCATTACATTGCCTTTGCCTGAAGCGCATGCCTTCAAACTCAGGTTGTATATGTACAAATTACAGAATTCATTCAACACTGATTAAATACCAACATGTACATAGTACTGTACTAAGTGTTAGAGAGATGCAAAGTTCATACAAAACCAGATTCCTGCCCTCTTGGAATTTACAGTTTAATAAGATGACAAGACACATAGACAATTATAATATGCACTTACACGATAGTTATATGGTTATAATTTATCTTGCACAAAGTAGCTGTTGAATTGAACTGATGGACACTGAAGCTAGGGTCTTAAGTCCCTCTTCATCTTTGCTTCCTGGCCTTTTCTAAATCTCATTTAACACCTCACACCTTTTGCAAGAAGCTTTTCCTGGAATGGTTCTTTTAATGTATCCTTCTCTGTTCTTGTGTGTATAAAGTTGTTTGCATGTTGTCTCCCTTCCATCTCCCCCCATTAGATTGTGAGCTCTCATCCTCTTCCCCCCAACAATTAGATTGTGAGCTCCTTCAGGGCAAGGACTGTTTTTCTCCTTGTATCTCCAACACTTAGCATAGTGCCAGGCACATAGTAGGTATGTGATACATTGTGTTGGCTTGACTAAGGACCCTGAGTGGGCAGATGCGAGCACCTCCTGTCTGGTATCTTCACTGCTAAATCTGCACTGTGTGGAAACGGTTCAAATTCTTCGTTCATTTATTCACATCCAGGGGCAGCTAGGTGGTGCAGTGGATAGAGCGCCAGCCCCGAAGTCAGGAGGACCTGAGTTCAATTCCAGCCTCAGACCAAATACTTGACACTTACTAGCTGTGTGACCCTGGGCAAATCACTTATCCCCAACTGCCTAAAAAAAAAAAAAACAACCAAAAAACCCCCCAAAAAACCAATACATTTATTCACACCCTTGCTTCCTTGAAGTTCAGCTCATATATTGCTTCCTACATCAAGTTTATCCTGATTCCCCTATTGGCAGTATCCTCCCTATCCCAATCCATCCTACGCCCTCAAGAATTACTTTCTATTCACTAAAATTTCAAATTTATATAATAATAGCTATTGTTTATATAGCACCAACTATGTACCAGGGCACTATGATAAGCATCTTTTTAAAACAAGTATTATCTCATCTAATTTCTACAACAATGGGGGGTAGATGCTATTATCCTCATTTTTACAGTAGAGAAAATGGAGAGAGACAGAGATTAAAAGTGTCCGCGTACATCTTCTACAGGAAAAGGCTTAGCACAGTGTGTATCATCTAGCTGGTATCTGATACATGCTTGCTGAATGACTATTGAGTGTCTGCAGAGTAGAGAGCTCCATGTCGATTGCTACAGGAGACACAAAGGCTAGCTAAGACCTGGTTCCTCAGCGGTGAACGATGGGTAAAGCCTCAGAATCAGAAAAAGCCCCTAACCGAAACGAGGTGATCACGAGCCAATCCCTTGCCTTCTCAATGCCACTGCCCACTCTTTCCCAGTGTTCCTTGCCAATATCTATTTCATTGAGGTTTGACGAGTCAAATAGCATTCCCTCTGCTACCCAGCACCTTTTCTTATTTCTTACAGTTAGAATTACAGGATTAACGTTTTAGAGCTGAAAACGATCCCTTCATTTCACAGGTAAGGAAAGTGAGCCCCAGAAAGGAGAATGACTAGCTTGGATTTAAACAGATGTCCTAAAACTACCAGGGCCCATGACTGTGGGAGTGAACTTCCCCACTTCCGTTAGACCTGGGACCACATCCACCTGCACACCTGCCCCTGGCCTGCTGATGCCTTTGCAAGAGGAGTTGGAGGGAGCTGACCAAGGTCACGCAGCCCAATCAAAATGACACCATGCTGCTTCTGCTCAGCTCACACTTCCCTCTCTCACCTTTCTACTCATCCTCCACTGGGCTGCCACAATAACCTTTATACACAGGTCTGACTGCCTTGCTCTAAAATTCTCAGTGGCTCCCCATTTCCTTTACGACAAAATGACTCCTCCTCCTAGTATTCAGAGCACTTCACAATCTAGCTTCACTTCCCATTCCAGTGATGATTCCCATTACTTATCATCAAAGCACACTACCTTCTAGTGCAAACACGCCCATTTTCATGCCTTTTACAAACTCTCCTCCCAGCCAGGATACTGTCTCTCTTTCACCTCTGCCTCTTTGAATCCTCAGTGTCTCTATCAGGATCCACTCAACTATCACCCTCTAAGGGTGGCTTACTTTGATTCCCTCAGTTATTAATATTCTCTCCCTCCATCAGCTATCTGCATGCTTGCACGCGCGCGCGCACACACACACACACACACACACACACAGAGGTACCTCTCCCAGGAGAAGTTCTCCAAGGACAAGGACTCTTGTGTCCATGTTTGTGCTCGCCAGTGTTAGGCTATAAATATCTGTTTATATGAGAGGGAACTTGGGGCTGTGATAATTTCTGTTGGAAAATTCTTTTCCACTCTATGAATCTATGTTATAACATTTTATGAGCCAATATTTAAAACTTCAATCTTGATGATGTTGAATAAATTTTAGCATACATTATCAAACTATTGCTAGGCCAGACATGATGACAGTATGGGGCTTTAGGCAAGTTTACACACTTACCCTCATCACTTGAGCCCTCTTGTTTGACAACAGACAAAGGGGATCGAGTTGGTGGTTTACCCAGGGGATGACGCCGGCTCTTCTTGATCTCCATTTTCAATTTGGAAAAAGTGGATGGGGCCTGTAAAAATAAACTACTTAAAGGAAATGCTTTGAGAATCAATGTACAGAGCCCAACTTAGGATTACCTATTATTTCAGAGAAACTACATTTCCGTTTTTGTTCCCCATCTTCACCCTTAGCCAAGGTCAATAATGCATTATGCTAAGAACAGCCAGCACTCCTTACTGGTATGATACCACTGATAACATCAGTTGAAGAAGGGTGAAACCTCCCTGAAAGGCCTAAAATGGCAACCAGCTAATGGCTATCTAGACAACTTGGCTCAGCTAAATTCCATGTCTTTTTCTCAATCTTCATGTTATTGACCTAAGCTCCCTACACTCAAGTAATTTTATTAGCTCTCTCTCCCACAGATGTTGCTAGTTCAAATTCTGCTCACAATCAAGAAACAGAATTTGCTTAAAAAGCAATTTCTCCTAAAGTGCTAATGCCTCCTGTTTGCTTATGCTAGAATTAGCTAGCCTCTTTTCCCATGACATTACCTGAACCTCATTGGCTTTGGGACTGATCTCCACCTGCTCAGTTTCTCCCCTTTCTTCTTCCTTCACTGTTAGCTCCATGGGGACAGTCTGCTCCCTCCAAATCTGACCCTTCTGAGCAAAGTGCTCGAGTGTCTGCTGGCCAGATACACGGTCTTTGTCAAATACCACCTTATTGGTCCGCGGAACCACATAAAGCATGGGAATGATAGGTCGAGGCTTAAAGTCATCCTCTTCGCTGGGCACCTCAGAGGGGTGGACAATGTTGAGGGGGGCAGCTAAGGGAAAGCTTTCTTCTATGGCCGTAGATACCGGTGCCAATACAGGGGGCTCCAATACGGGAGGTGGTGGCGGGGGGACCTCTTCTTCCGTACGTAGCTGGGGCGGAGGTGACAACAACTGAGGTGGCTGAGATGGGTGGTGATGGTGGTGATGGTGGTGGTGTTTCTTCTTCTTATCACTTCTGGCCTTGGGGGTACGGATCTTGGTCTTACCATCCCCTGGTCCAAGAAATTAAAAGCGAGTTACTGACAAGAAATCAACATTTTCTAGCGATCCATCAACAACAAGGATTTACTGAGTGGGCAGGGCACGTCAGCTCTCTAGGACTTAGTGCACTCATCGGTCAGAATGAGGAGATTAGAAAAGAAGATCTCTAAGGTTCCTTCCAATTCTAAATCTACGATCCTGTGAGTGCAGGCCTAGCATTTTATCAGGAGCTATGAGCAACGTAAAGTTGTCCAAGACATGGGCTTTACTCACAAGGCGCTTACAATCTAGTTGGCCACACAGGATGTGTATGTTAAACATTTAGTGGACAAAGCAGTAAGTAACAGAACATTCAATTACATGGTCTACACAAGAGGCGTCAAACATGTGTCCAAAGGGCTGCATATGGCCCATGACACTTCTGAGTGGAGTCCATACCAGATTAAAATGTAATTGGGAATTATTTAACAAAATAAATAAAAATACACTAAAACATAAGATAATATCACGTTAAAAATTACGCCAATATGCAGCCTGCAGGCATCTTTTGTATAGCTTAGTGTGCTGCATTTCTATTTGAATTTTACACCACTGTCTAAAGAACAAGTCTAACTATTTCTGATTGTGGCTACCAGGATCTATTAATCCCATTACCAAAATATCTTTCACATTTATTGCCTCTACTCCACCCATTCTGTCCCTAGAACAAATCTTTACTACTGCCATTCTATACTATTATATAACCTCCCATCAGGTCTGTTTCTACTTTTTGCCTCTTCCAATCCATCCATACCACTGCTAGAAAAATCTTTCTTACAAAACACAACTTACAACTTCACAACTTGCATCCAGCTTACATGCTGCGGGCTGCTTACAGCAGGCCAAAGACTTTTCTCTGCATACAGAGAATGTTTTCCTCTACATTTCTGAAGGCCCCCTCAAAATCCTTTGGTGGGCCGCAAGTTGTGCAGACCTGTTACATTGAGTCCCAAAAGTCTTAGTACGGTTTTAGGTTTAAGTGGCTTAAAACTGCACTAAGGCTCTCAATATACTCTGTATATTGTGATGGTTGTGAAATTTTTCTACTAAAAAATCTCCAGAGGCTTCTTTTTGCCTCCTGAGTTAAGTTCAAACTCTTATGGCTGATATAAAAGGTTCTATTGAACCTCTCAAACAATATCACAATACCTCTGCTGCCTTATCTCTATCACTACCCTTCACATACTCTATGCCCAAACTAAATGGGGCTACTCTCAGCCCTCCCAATGAATTCTAAAAACCGGCCTTTGATTAAGCTGTTCCCTATCCCTGGAATATCTCTTTACAGAAAACATTCATACTCATCCTTTAAAAGTCATCTCAAATGTCACCTCCTCCAAGGTGGTACAATGGATAGAGTGCTGGGTATAAGGTCAGGAAAACTTGGGCTCAGATCCAGCCTCAGATACTTACTAGCTGTGTGACCACAGGCAAGTCACTTAACCCTTGTTTGCCTCAGTTTTCTCAGCTGTAAAATGAAGACAATAATAGCACCTATCTCACCTGGTTGTTGTGAGGATCAAATGAGATGAACATTTTCAAAATGCTTAGCACAGTGCCTGGCACACAGTAGGTTCTTAATAAATACTTGTTGACTAGTACGATGTTTTACAATTACAACTGCCATAGACATTCAACTATAATATAAAGCATTACACATCATATCTCTGTTTATGTGTTATCTACTTAACTAGACTTGAGGACAGAAATGCTGTCGTAATTCAGGCGTCTTTCCTCTGTTAATTATTTCCTATTTGTTCTATATTTAGCTTGCTTTGTGTATCTGTTTGCATGTTATCTCCCCATTAGAATGTAAGCCCCCTGGGGGCAAACATTCCCTCTTGCCTCTTTTTCTATCCTCAGTGAGTAAGCACAGTATCTGGCTTAAGTGTGGGCACTTAATATTTATTGACTGAATAAACTTTGTATCTTACCTTGTACTTAGCACAATATTGTGCACGTAGCAGGTACTTCATTTTTAGTGAATGAATGCACTACTGTGGACTAGAAGTCTTGAAGGAGGCTTCAGGAAGGAAAGGAGCCTTGAAGGACTGGCAGGATATGCAGTAAATAGTAAGGAAGAAGGGCATTCTAAATGGTATTAATAGTATGTGCTTAAATGTGGAGGCAAGAATGAACATGATGTGGGGGGGGGGAGATGAGGAACATAGCAAGACCCTAAAAAAGAGACAGGCTTAACTTGAGTAGAGTTCGCATTAAGTAATGATAAGAAATACAGTTCAATGGGTTGGGTGAGAACAGATTAACTTATTAAATAAGTTATTTTAAATAAGTTTGCTACCTCAGAAAATGCATCTATTGTGCCAGTGCTAATATGTAATTTGGCTATCTTTTTAACAAATTTATATTTCCAAGTAGTTATGGGAATAAATAGCCTTTTCATTTTATAGGTAGGAAAACTTCCTAGTTCACTGATTCACTCAACAACCATTTTATTAAGTATCCACTATGTACAAAAAACTAATGTTGTCTACTGAGAGTGATATAATTATACAGGAACAATGTGGATGGAGGACACAGGCATGGAATTGGGAAAAATAGAGGATGAGTAAAAGGAGTAGAAAGTTAAGTACAGTTTGCAAGAAGCATAGCACACATGGAAGGGAATAGTGTGAGACAGAGCAGGGAGGTTCACAGGCTCAGAATTTAAAGGAAATCCAGGTTACAGAGGGTCTTGACCATAAGGCCAAGACCTTTAGATTTTATTTGGGAGGCTCTCAGGACCCACTGAAGAGTTTTGAGCAGGAGGTTAATGGGAAGTTAAATACCTTGGAAAGAAAAGTGAGAAGATAAGCCAATGCTAGACCTAGTAACATTTCAGCATGCCCAAGTAAATGTAGGCAAATGACAACTTCAGAGGAGAGGTGATTCAGATCACCTCCCTTTTGGTAGGCAGTTCAATACATACCCAGTCAAATAGGGCTTTGAACCAACAGATGATTTGTTTTTCTGCAGGTACAAGACATGGGGTTTATTTGCCACCCTGTCATATCATCTAAGACCCTATGGGAAGGTGAAGTCAGCACCCAGCACATCATTTTAGTTTATCCAAGTAATTAGTATGTCATAAATCAAAGATAAATTAAACAAATTATTTATGCTTTTGAGGGCTGCTGTTTTATAAGGTGAGGCAAGCAACTATGCTAAGGAAGCAGTGATGAGCTCTTCCAGCTCAGCTGGAAAGGGAATTCAGTCAGGTAGTCAGGCACACACAAGTCACTGCAGGTCAGCAAAGGTAGGTTCTAGTACAAACTCTGATCACAACTATGGTGAGACATTCATCCTCTTGGAGCCCACAAAAGAAAGATCAGGTCAGGTGACAGCCTGAATGCCTGTCACCAGAGGGTCAGCCCTAAACTGAATGGAGGGAAATGAATTTTTCAGTCATACCAAGTCTTTAACACCTTTCAAGGGATTACAGAGTGGCTATAATGTGTTGGTGGTGGGAGTACATACAAATGAATGAAAAAACAGTTCTCTAAAGTACTAAAGAAAATCAAGTTAACACCACCAATCCTATCTACCACACAGAGCTGTTGTGAAGAGCAAAGAATCATAGAAATATGTAGGAGAGCCCTCCTAGCTCTAATATTCTTTAAGACCATGTAGTTCAAGACCTTCATTTTATTGATTAGGAAACTTAAGGGCCAGAAAGAGGAAATAACCTGCGAACAGTAGATGAAAGAATGTATTAAAAAGCATGAATCAACACCAAAATATGGGGGGGGGGGGTTGCTATTAATGGTAATACATTAAATTTAAGCCTTATATCTCACAAAAACAAGCCTAATGCAGGAAGGAAAAGAAAATGTAAGAAGGAAGAATGCTTTTGTTTCTCTTCATGTGATTCACTAATAACTTGGAGGTTAATTCTTTTCAGTATCTATATTCTATTTCTTCAGTTCAATTCCATTCAATTCGATCCTATTCAAATCCATTAAATTCAACGTGCCACTGTGCTAGGCACTGGGGATCTGAAAACAATCAGGAGAAACAGTCCTTGCCCTCAAAGAACTTAGATTCAACTAGATGATTATTAGGAAAATTCATTATAGTAGTAGTAACACCAGATTTCATTTCTCTTATCCCCCTCCCCCCCATTTTACAAGTAAGGAGTCAGAGGCTTCAAACGGTTAAGTTACTTGTCCATGGTCACAAGCTAAAAAGAACCAAGATATTTTAACCCAGGTATCACAACTCCAAGTCCAACACACTTTTTATCATGCTGGGAAAGGCCAAAGACTGGCTGACCAAGACTGGCTCAGACTAGTACTCAGAAGTCCTGATAGGGACACTGAGGATTCAAAGAGGCAGAGGTGAAAGAGAGACAGTATCCTGGCTGGGAGGAGAGTTTGTAAAAGGCATGAAAATGGGCGTGTTTGCACTAGAAGGTAGTGTGCTTTGATGATAAGTAATGGGAATCATCACTGGAATGGGAAGTGAAGCTAGATTGTGAAGTGCTCTGAATACTAGGAGGAGGAGTCATTTTGTCGTAAAGGAAATGGGGAGCCACTGAGAATTTTAGAGCAAGGCAGTCAGACCTGTGTATAAAGGTTATTGTGGCAGCCCAGTGGAGGATGAGTAGAAAGGTGAGAGAGGGAAGTGTGAGCTGAGCAGAAGAAGCATGGTGTCATTGTCACCTCATAAACCTCAAAGAGCTATCTAAATGTATTACTATTTTAACCTTTTTTATCCAAATTGTTACTCAATCATGTTCCCTTCTCCCATTAATTCAGTTACAAAAGATTCACTGAGCACTTATGAGCACAGCATTTCTACATCCAACTTTCTCATTTTCTCTATCTTCTGTCTCTTTTTAAAAAAAATTATCTCATTTGATCCTCACAACAACCCAAGGAGGTGTTGTTATGCTCATTTTACAGTTGAGAAAACTGAGATGAGCAAAGATTAAATGACTTGCCCAGGAATTTGAACTGAGGTCTTCCTGACT